AGTTGAGGAGCCTAAGGAAGTTTTGAGACAGCCTGGACTGAACATGTGTGAGGACCTCGTCTCGCCTCTATTCTAAAAACAAAAAAATCCTTTTGGACTGGTGTCTCCACATGTTGTCATTCAACCCAAATTCTATACGGTACCACCCCCCCCCCCCCGCCAGCTTTGTTCCTCTTTACTGCTGAATATTCCATTTATGGACATAACTGCATTTTGTTTATCCATTCACCAGGTGATTGGCATTTGTTTCTAGTTACAGAATAATATACGCGTGTTCAAGATACAAAAATGCATAAAATTTGGCCGGGCATGGTGGTTCACACCTGTAATCCCAGCACTTGGGGAGGCTGAGGCGAGTGGATCACTTGAGTCCAGGAGTTCAAGACCAGCCTGGGCAACATGGCAAAACCCCGTCTCAAAACAAACAAAACAAAACCCCATAAAACTGAGCAAGGTAATTTGTAAGATATGGAAGTACAATGCAGATGACAATAATGACGATGATAGCTAACACTAGGCGCTTTATTTACGCCAGACACGTTCCTAAACACTGGATAGACTCTCACTTAGTCCTCACAAATAAGCCTATGAGGTAGGCACTACCATCATTCCCCGTTTTACAGAGGAGGACGCTGAGGCACAGATTGATTGAGAAACTTGTCGAAGGCACTGCAACTAGCAAGTGGTGACATGGCGTTTGAATCCAGGCATCTGAATGGTGTGGATGCCGTGGAAGAGAAAGGGGTGGGTAGGACAGCTTCCTAAGGAGATACTGACTGCCGAGGCAGCAGCCTAGGGAAGAGAACTGAAGAACAGGAGCTGTGGAGACAGATCATCGCATCCGGTGTGGACAGATGGGTATGCAAGCAGACAATAACCAGACTATATATAAAAAGAGAACTCTAGGTCAGGCGCGGTGGTTCACACCTGTAATCCCAGCACTTTAGGAGGCTGAGGCGGGTGGATCACTTGAAGTCAGGCGTTTGAGACCGGGCGTTCGAAACCCCGTCTCTACTAAAAACATAAAAATTAGCGGGGCATGGTGGTGGGCGCCTGTAGTCCCAGCTACTCGGGGCACGAGAACCGATTGAACCCGGGAAGCAGAGGTTGCAATGAGCCGAGATCGCGCCACTGCACTCCAGCCTGGGTGACAACAGCGAAACTCCGTCTCAAAAATAAATAAAAATAAATTACTGATAATAGTATTAATACTCCTTAAGTGGGTATTGATAATAGTACCATGGGGGAGGGCAACTTCTCCGAGAGTGCTCCATAAGTATGTATTGAAGACTGAGTAAATACATTTAAAATTCTTAGAACAGTATGTGGCACATAGAAAGCGTTCCATAATGCCACATTATTGTCAGTGACAGAAATAACCTCGGCTGGGCGCGGTGGCTCATGCCTCTAATTCCAGCACTTTGGGGGGCCAAGGCGGGAGGCTCTCGCGAGGCCAGGAGTTCAAGACCAGACTGGGCAACGTGGCAAGACGCCGACTGTACCAAAAAGAAAAAAAAAAAAGTTACCCGGGCTCGTGGCGTGTGCTTGTAATCCCAGCTACTGGGGAGGAGGTGGGAGGATCGCTCCAGCCCGGGGCAGCAGTGAACCGAGATCACAACACTGCACTCCAGCTTGGGCTACAGAGCGAGACCCTGATTCTCAGAAAGAAAGAGAAATACCACCGTCCAGGGACGGAGAAGGATGATTCTCCCCGCTTCTGAGGTTTCTACTCCTTGCCCGGAAGAAACCTAGTCCTCCCAGGTTAGCACGCCGCTCTAGCCCAGCCTCACGTCTCTACTGCTGCTCAGCCAGCCAACGCCTCTTCTGATTGGCTCAGACGTGCCCGGTGCGTGATGACGTCACGAGGCGCCGGCGTTACTATAAGAGCGTAGCCTTGTCGCTGGCGCGCCTCTTTGTCGGTGGCCGGGTCTTGCGCTCAGGTAAGGTGTGGTGATGTCCTTTTTCGCTAGGGTTTGGGTTGGATGGTCGCGCGGGCCTTCCAAGCTTCCATGAGTAAGCTAAAGGCGTCGTCTCAAAAATAAATAAAAATAAATTACTGATAATAGTACTAATACTCCTTAAGTGGGTATTGATAATAGTACCATGGGGGAGGGCAACTTCTCCGAGAGTGCTCCATAAGTATGTATTGAAGATTGAGTAAATACATTTAAAATTCTTAGAACAGTATGTGGCACATAGAAAGCGTTCCATAATGCCACATTATTGTCAGTGACAGAAATAATCTTGGCTGGGCGCGGTGGCTCACGCCTGTAATCCCAGCACTTTGGGGGGCCAAGGCGGGAGGTTCTCTCGAGGCCAGGAGTTCAAGACCAGACTGGGCAACATGGCAAGACGCCGACTGTACCAAAAAGAAAAAAAAAAAAGTTACCCGGGCTCGTGGCGTGTGCTTGTAATCCCAGCTACTGGGGAGGAGGTGGGAGGATCGCTCAAGCCCGAGAGGTTGGTCGGGGCAGCAGTGAACCGAGATCACAACACTGCACTCCAGCTTGGGCTACAGAGCGAGACCCTGTCTCAGAAAGAAAGAGAAATACCACCGTCCAGGGACGGAGAAGGATGATTCTCCCCGCTTCTCAGGTTTCCACTCCTTGCACGGAAGAAACCGAGTCCTCCCAGGTTAGCACGCCGCTCTAGCCCAGCCTCACGTCTCTACTGCTTCTCAGCCAGCCAACGCCTCTTCTGATTGGCTCAGACGTGACTGGTGCGTGATGACGTCACGAGGCGCCGGCGTTGCTATAAGAGCGTAGCCTGGTCGCTTGCGCGCCTCTTTGTCAGCGGCCGGGTCTTGCGCTTAGGTAAGGTGTGGTGTTGTGCTTTTTCGCTAGGGTTTGGGTTGGATGGTCGCGCGGGCCTTCCAAGCTTCCATGAGTAAGCTGAAGGCGTTAGGGATTGGAGTAGGGTGGTTGAACGGGAGTGCAGCACGGTAGTGGGGGCGGATAGTGGCGATGAGAGCTTTGGAGGTTATTCTCGCGAGATCCAATCCGGGCGCCGCAAGGTTTTGGCGTAGTTGTGGGACTGCGCAGGCGCCGCCCGGAGCTCTCAGGCTCACGCTTCCCTCCCGGGCAGGCGCAGACGGGTAAGCGGAGCCAACATGCCGGTGGCCCGGAGCTGGGTTTGTCGCAAAACTTACGTGACCCCGCGGAGACCCTTTGAGAAATCTCGTCTCGACCAAGAGCTGAAGCTGATCGGTGAGTGGCCAAGGCTTCTGGGAAGTGGTTCGGCTTCCGGGAGGCGGGTAACACGTGGATGAAGGCGCCCACGTGCTTGATCTAGTCGGCCCCCTAAATTTGGTACTCTTCGTGGTTTAGGAAGGTTCTGTGTATCCAGAGCTGCCAGGGTAGTTTTTGTAGCAGTACGTGGGACTACACTTGTCCACTCCCTTACACTTGTCCACTCTCTTCTCCCCACCAGGCGAGTATGGGCTCCGGAACAAACGTGAGGTCTGGAGGGTCAAATTTACCCTGGCCAAGATCCGCAAGGCCGCCCGGGAACTGCTGACGCTTGATGAGAAGGACCCACGGCGTCTGTTCGAAGGTACGTGTGGGAATCCACAGCAGAGCGATGGGGCGCAGGGCTTGTGAGGGGCATTCTCCGTTCTGCCGCCTCTGTTCCAGTGATGGGTTGTGTCATTGGACAAATGGAGCCAGCCTTTTAACTTAGTGTTTTAATGGCACTTGTGGAGTAGGAAAAGTGGAACTGGATGAAAGTCTTTGTCCTGTTTCTTAGGCGTGTGGCTTTTTTGCCCAGGTACTGGACCTTCAGTTTGGTAATGACCCAGAGCTAAAGATAGGCCTGCACATTTGGGCACCTGTCTATATCTTTACATGGTATCTCAAAACAGTACTGCTTATGTGGTCTGTTTGCTGGTGGTGAGAGTAGACTAGGAAGTGGAATTTCTGGAATAAGTGATGGTGATAACAGGGTTTGCACATTTGCTTGCTTTGTGTTTTTAAACAATTTTTTTTGTTTTATTTATTTTTTTGAGACAGAGTCTTGCTCTGTCGCCCAGGCTGGAGTGCAGTGGCTCAATTTCGGCTTACTGCAACCCCTGCCTCCTGGGTTCAAACAATTCTCCTATTTCAGCCTCCCAAGTAGCTGGTACTACAGACAGGCACACCACCACGCCTGGCTAATTTTACTTTTGATACGGAGTCTCGCTCAGTTGCCCAGGCTGGAGTGCAGTTGGTGCAGTCTCCGCTCACTGCAAACTCTGCCTCCCTGGTTCAAGCGATTTTCCAGTCTCAGCCTCCCAGTTAGCTGGGATCACAGGCTAATGCACCACCACGCCCGGCTAATTTTGTATTAGTAGAGACGGGGTTTCACCATGTTGCCCAGGCTGGTGCTTGCTTTATTAAGCTGGTTAAGGACATGTAGATGGCATTGAGCAAAGGCCTGAACAGGAGAGAATCTGTAAAATGTCTCAGGGAACAGCATTTCAGGTGATGACTTTAGAAGGGCATGCAGATCATATAGACTTAGGCTTACTTTACTAATTGTGGTGGAACAGACATTAACATGAAAGTTGGTCATCTTAACCATTTAGTTTTAAAATCTACTCTGAGATGCAGTGTTATTGGAGTGCTTTCTACAGCAGATTGGCATGACCAAGATTGGCATTAGTATATCCTGAGACGCTGCTTTTGCCTGAGTTTGGGTAGTCATGATTTGTGGTGAAAAGCAGTCTCTGCACCTGAGCCCTGACTGTGAGGCATGAGAGTGGTCATCCATATGAGGCATTGAGAAGGTCCCGGAGCATGCTTAGCCACAGATTATCGCAGTTTGACCCAGGCTTGCAGATGTTAGAAGCTTTTTTTTAAAAAAAAAAAAAATAAGCACAGGATCTTGCATTGTTGCCCAGGATGGTTTCCAACTCCTGGCCTCAAGTGATCCTTCCGCCTCAGCCTTAAATAGTGCACCTGACCCTTTCATTCTTTTTGTCAATTTGTAGACCCCGTTGACAATCTCATGAAAGTGCTGGAGATCCCTCCCCCGTGGATACTGATACTGGGTGGGAGTTTCTCCCAGAGTCCTGTGGGGAGTGGGCTACAGCTGGCTCTGGTTTTAGGGAGGACTTTCCGAATATAGAGCCTAATCGCAATGAAACTTAGTCATGTGAGAAAGCGGTGCAGGTGTCTGAGGGATATTTGTGGTTTTCCAAGGCAGAAGTGAAAATTCCCAGGGGGTAGACAGCTGTTCAGGTAAGTACACTTTCTAGTAAATGAAACCCTCTAGCCTAGCCAGGGACGGGAAGGAGGAGCTTGGATGTTTGCTCTTTGGTGTAATCCTGCCTTGATTCAGATCCAGCCTTTCCCACTAACGTGTGACTGGCGAGATTCTGAGTCTCATCTGTTAAAAGACTGAACAGCCGCTAACATTTGGCTGGCAGTTAACCAACAGATAGAGGCCAGGCGCGGTGGCTCATGCCTGTAATTCCAGCACTTTGGGAGACCAAGGTGGTCCGATCACTTGAGGTCAGGAGTTGGAGACTAGCCTGGCCAACATGGTGAAATTCCATCTCTACTAAAAATACAAAAATTAGTCGAGCCTGGTGGTGGTCCTGTAATCCCAGCTACTCGGGAGGCTGAGGCAGGAGAATTGATCGAACCTGGGAGACGGAATCCGCGGCACTGTGCTCCAGCTTGGGTGACAGCGAGACTCCATCTCAAAACAAAAAAATCAGGAATTCCACCCTCAGCACAACTGTGAATAAATGTAGAAATCATATCCATTTTTCAGATCAGAAATGAAGGCGTTGTAATACCTGCCTTGTATGACAAGGACCTGTTTCCCACTGAGGTCCTCCCTGGTTTGCATTTTTAAAGCATTTTAAATTCTCTTGGTGCATTGGCCCAGCGGAGCCTGTGTAACAGTACTCAGTAGCAGGACATGATTTTGTTGAAGGTGTAAGGTTTATTGTGCTGTTGAAAACTATTGTCTTCATACTTAAAGGTTTTGCCTGTGGTTGACTCTTCTGTTCTTTTTCAGGAGATAGATGGGTTAATAAATGTGGGTCAGGCGTGGTGGCTCACACCTGTAATTCCAGCACTTTGGGAGGCAAAGGCAGGCGGATCACCTGAGGTCGGGAGTTCAAGACCAGCCTGAACAACGTGGAGAAACCCCCTAGTCTCTACTAAAAAAAATACAAAATTAGCCAGGCATGGTGGTGCGTGCCTGTAATCCTAGGCTGAGTCAGGAGAATCCCGGGAAGCGGAGTTTGCAGTGAGCCGAGACCACCATTGTACTCCAGCCCGGGCAACGAGGGAAACTCTTGTCTGAAAAATGATAGTAAATGTGAAACACTTTCTTTTTAAATCATGGCTTTATTTTGCCTAATGGTGATGATCTCACTTTGTCTCCCAGGCTGGAGCACAGTGGCATGGTCGTGGCTCACTGCAACCTGGACCGCCTGTGCTTAAGTGATCCTCCTCAGCTCTAGTAGCTGGGACTGCAATCCACCATGTACCACCATGCCTGGCTAATTTAGTTTTCCTTTTTTTTTTGTTTTGGTACAAATGGGGTCTCACTATGTTGCCCAGGCTGGTTTCAAACTTCTGGACTCAATCGATGCTCCTGCCTCAGCCTCCCAAAATACTGGGTTTATAGGGCAGGCATAAGGTACTGTGCCTGGCTGAAGTTTCTATTTTCTAATGTAAACACAAAAAGGCATGAAGTGTCCAAGGAGGTGAATGATCCCAAACTCGTTTTCATTGCCTTTTGGACATGTTTTTGTATTTTGATATTCAGGTGTTTAAAAATCCTCTGATGTTGAGCATTAAAAAAGAGAACAAAAATTGAAGCCATAGCATGACACAGGATGCTGGAAAGGTACACAGCTGGTGTTTCCGTTTGGATTCTATCTCCTACTTGTAACTGCTCCCTATTGGGAAGACTTTGGGTCCTCACAAAGTCAGCTAGCTTTCTTTCAAACTTTGCTTGGAGGGTAACAACAGTGCCAGGAATATCAGAAGTGCCTGATGAATGTGGGTCTATTTATTAAAGCTTGCTTGAATTGTTTGCTATAACTAGTAAGAGGCACTTTTTATAAAAGTGCACATAATAAGGAAAAAAGTTTGAGGTGTTTACCCCAGTGTCAAGGGGCAGTTGATTTGCTGAACGCGTGTGGGATTATAGCAGTGAGTGGGATCCTACAGGAAGGCATTTGCCTTGAGGGAGGTGGGCAAGGGGAGTCCAGAGTATTAGCTAGAAGCCATGGCTTTGGACAGGGTAAGGAGCAAGTCGTCCTGAGCCTGGGGTGTAGTAGCTGACATCTGTTGGATATTTTATGCAGTGTGTTGTTAGGTTATATACATACTGTGTATATTTTTAGTGGAAAATTTCATACAGAATAGTAAAATGAATGACATGTACTTAGCTGCAAAAATTCTAGTGTTAGAAATTTCTTTTCTCTCCCTAAAAGGTGTAGGTACTGATATTTATGGCATAGGGAATGTGATTTAATCTCACATCTGGTTAATCAGAAGAGCTTTCTGGACTCAGAATATGAACTCTAAACCACTGTGCTTTGTTAACGGTGGTAGTAGCTTAATAGTAGCTGCACTTGGTCTTTTGCAGACTGAGTCCTTGTAAGGAGATGATTTCCTTTACTGTTGCTAAGAATGTGGAGCGAGTGATGTTATACTCTTCAGATGAGGAGGCAGGTATATTTTGTCCTCCTGTCACCTGCAGGTTACTATGGATGATGGCCTGACACCCATAGGGTGGTTTTGTGTGTGTGTGTGTGTGTGTGTGTGTGTGTGTGTGTGTGTGTGAGACAGGATCTCACTCTGTTTCCCAGACTGGAGTGCAGTGGTCCCATCTCAGGTCACTGCAACCTCCGCCTCCAGGGTTCAAGCAATTTTCTTTCCTCAGCCTCCTGAATAGCTGGGATTACAGGCAGTGTGCCAACAGCCTGGCTAATTTTTTGTATTTTTAGTGGAGACAGGGTTTCGGCATGTTGGCCAGGTTGGTCTCATAAACTCCTAACCTCAAGTGATCCATCTCAGACTCCCAAAGTGCTGGGATTACAGGCGTGAGCCACCACGCCCAGCCTATAGGATAGTTTTGACAGTGATATGGGTCACAGTGACTGGTGCTAATACTACCTGTGTCTCACCACCGTGACATGGAGCTACGAAGAGGTGGAGCCAGGATTTGAACCCAAGAAGCCTGAGGTCAGAAGGCTGAATCAGTGCTTCCTCCCACTGTTCCCAGGCAACGCCCTGCTGCGGCGGCTGGTCCGCATTGGGGTGCTGGATGAGGGCAAGATGAAGCTGGATTACATCCTGGGCCTGAAGATCGAGGATTTCTTAGAGAGACGCCTGCAGACCCAGGTCTTCAAGCTGGGCTTGGCCAAGTCCATCCACCATGCTCGCGTGCTGATCCGCCAGCGCCATATCAGGTACCACCTCTGATGGGTGCCCGAACCTTCCTCCGCCTCCCGTCTGGTGGCTGCCCTCACTAAGCCTGCTGTCCTATCTCCTATGCAGCCCTCGGAGGTGATGGGTGTGAGCTCACCCAGAGGGTACAGATTCACCCTTGCACACAACTCACCAGGGAGCTGGGGCAGCCTCATGCCCCAATAGCCCAGCGCAAGGGTCACTGCGGCTTTAGCCGTACACCTTGTGAAGGCCTCTGCCAGGCATGTGGGCAGCTGGACAGGTAACAGCTCTTGGTGTCCCCAGTGGAGGGAGAGAACCAGCCTCTCCTCGCTCGGGTGGTGGGTTCAGCTGTCTCCTGACTCGTTTATGAAGCTGATTCCAGACCCTAATCCATGACTGCTTTCTGGGTACTCAGTGTGCCCTTCCTGTAACGTGGCACCATTGACGGGGAGGAGCTGTACAGGAAGAGGGCAAGATGTTAGCATTTAGAATCTCCGCCCCAGCCCTTCACTAAGCCTGTGAGCCGCAGGCAGAGCGTCGTGTGTCAGCGTAGCCCCGGGTTGCTGTGCTGTTGTGGGCATTGCTGCCGCACGTGGTCATGCAGCTCAGTGTCAGGCGTGGGGTTCAGGATGCTTCAGACTCGGAACCTGGGCTCTTATTCGGCCACCTCATTTGCTTTGTGGTCTTAGGTGGGATACTTTTGAATTTCTCCGAGAAAATGTGGTTGAGAAACTCACCTGAAGCATTTTTGGGGCTTAAGGTGATACCCTCAAACCCTGGACTCACATGAGGCCCATAGGATCAGGAGCGCCCTTCCCACAGTGCCTCGGTGTCTGTGGCCATGGCGCCTCATGGGGTGGGTGAAGGGGAGAGAGTGGTGCCTGAGCTGGGGTGAGCGCCCGTTTCTCCTCCAGTCCGCTTCACTTTGTCGCCTCTTCCAGGGTCCGCAAGCAGGTGGTGAATATCCCGTCCTTCATCGTCCGCCTGGATTCCCAGAAGCACATCGACTTCTCCCTGCGCTCTCCCTATGGGGGTGGCCGCCCGGGCCGCGTGAAGAGGAAGAACGCCAAGAAGGGCCAGGGTGGGGCCGGGGCTGGAGACGACGAGGAGGAGGATTAAGCCCACCTTTCCCTCCTGGGCTGCTGGATTGTCTAGTTTTCCTGCCAAATAAACAGGATCAGCGCTTTACAATTGGTGTGTGTGGGTGTCTCCTTGACTCTCCCCTGCTCTGAACATGCAGCCTTCCCTGGGAGGCTCAGGAGCGTGCCTACCAGACAGTGGTCCCCAGCCTCTCAGTACTACTCTTCCACAGTACTGAACACATGTTTACCAGAAGCTTCTGTCATCAGGGGAGAGACCAATGGTCTTTTGGGAAAAACAGTCAAAACCAGATGGAAATTCCAAGTAAGCCGGCGTTTGCATATAGGGGTGGGAGGGAGCCTGTCGATGCCAGGCAGGGGAGGCAGCAAGTGGAGGTGGGGGCCTGCCCTGCCTGTGGCCCTGGGACCCTGACCCCGCCCAGCAAGAGACAGGGGGAGCAGAGCTGGCCTGAGACTGGTTGCTGGGGACGGTGAACTGTTAGTGACTTTTTGTTGGGGAGCACTTCACCGAATTTGCCAGTTTCAAAGCTTGTTTGTGATGTGGTTGATGTTGGGCAAGTTCCCGGTTTTGTCTTCACACGTAGGGGAAGTGGGTTCGTGTAGGGGAAGGGGCGTTGAGGGAACTCTTCCTCCTATCCGCGTTTGGTGCTTCTGCGGACTCACGGTCAAGAGGTTGGCAGGCTTCCCTTTTCTCAGCCTTGTTGATCATCTGTGTTGGGAAGGGGTTTGGTTGCTGAGGAAGTGAGAAACTTGAACTTGTGCAACCCCTCAGGCTGCAGGCTGTAGCTGATTGGGTCCTTGTCTGGAGGCCTTCAGGGTTGGAGGTCAGTGCAGGGATGGCTCTGGAACACAGCTGAGTTGCTGTAAACCACGTGGAGAAGTCCACTGCCGCTTACTCGAGCTAGGTGGTGGCCCTTCCCTCGGTTGCTACTTGGGAAGTGATGGTGGTCTTGTTGGACGTCCATGGGGCCAGCTGCTGCACCGTCTGGGCTCACTGTGGTCTTGCTTGGAGCGTGGGGTCTGGGTCTTGTGTGGGCTAGTGGATGGCCAGGGCAGCGTAGTCACTGGGCTCCTCTGGGAGCTCCCCTGGGAGGAAGAGAGTGCAGGTGTCTGGTCTGAGGTGGTGGCCCACCTGGGCGTAGCTCCCCCAGAGCTCCAGATGCAGCCGCCTGGAGGGAGAGAGGAGTGGGAGGTGAGGTATGCGGTTCTGCTGGGGAGAAGCCTGCAGGCTGGGGAGGAAACGGGTCTCCATCTTCAGGGCTCTGCCTGCAGAGGCAGCGAGTGGGCAACAGAGGGAGGAGACTCCATCTCGAAAATTTGTAGAGACGGGTCTCACCATGTTGCCCTGGCTGATCTCAAACTCTTGGCCTCAAGCAATCCACCCACCTCCCAAAGTGCTAGGATGACAGGTGTGAGCCACAGTGCCCGGCCTGCGTGGGTCTGTTTAATCTCCGGGCCTCGTGCTCCCCCTTTCTTGGTGATCTCCTTGGACCACTGCCCCCATCTCATTTTCTCCCTCCTCTACCCTCATCACCAGGGATGACCCTGAGCCCAGGGTCTGAGCAGAGAGCGGGACGGGGGCTGGGCAGGGGCCCCTCACCTGCAACCAGCATACTGGGTGGGGGTGATGGGGCCAACCTCTGGCAGGAAGCATCGTGTCCACCGCAGCATCCCATCCGTGCCGGCCCCCATGGGGGTGGCTCACAGGGCCCAGGAGGAAGTCGGGGCGGGGGTTGGGAGCCCCTTGTCCTGGTCAATGCAGAGCTGTCAAAACCGGCCTGAGTGACACTGGGCGGTCAGGCCATCTCCAGAGAGCACCAGCGATCCCGGCTGTGCTGAGAGGGAGGGCTGAGGGCTGCCTGGACGCCCCTGAGATAAGGCGACTGGTATTTAGGGGATGCACACTCTCTCTGGGGCCTGCAGGGAGACCTCTCACCGGTCTCAACTTGGGCTTCTGCCTTCTGCTTTGGGCTTCTGGCCCATGAAGGTCGGGGTTACCGACCACCCTGTGTCTGCCTAAGGCTTCCCTGGACACACAGCAGGGAGACGGGCAATGAGGGTGGAGGTTGTGAGCCTGCCTGTCATGGTCCCCAGCAGTGCAGATGATTAGACCACTGAGCCACAGAGCATGGAGGGCACAGAGCATGGCGTGCTGGGTATTAGGAGCCCTGGGCTCTGTGTTACAGGTCATGGGTTCTCATCAGTGGCCTTGCAGGAGGGGAACAGCCCCTCCCCCAGGGCCTTGCTCAGCTCCCCCTGAAGGATGGGGCTGTGGGGACAGTAGGCTCTGGGGGCCTTTTAGACCACCTTTGACTCCCCCAAGCTCTGCCTGCCTCCACCTCACCCAACTCAAATCCAGGGGTGACCCTTGTTCTAGCACATGAGGCCAGAGAGGGCAGGGCCTTAGGACACAGCCCAGTCACTGTTCTAACTCTAGAGGCAGGTGCCTTCGTGTCCTGAGCTCTGTAATGCATCTTTTCTTTCATCAGCCTCGCGATCAGGCGGTTTATCGAGTGGTTACCACATCCAGGCATGCCGCCAGGAGGAGAGGACTTGTGGGTGAAGCTGATAGGATTCCTGCTGGACTCCCGGAGCTTGGGTTACTGAAGACACATTACCCATGGTTAGACAGGAGGTAATTCTGCTCCAGTTTCGACAAGATGTAGGAAAGGAGGAAAACATGCCCATAGCAGGTGAGCAGCGTGCACCTGGTCACGGGAGTGAGGGGTCCTTCTAGGGGATGGAGAGACCAAGGCGTGAACAGCGAGTGTGGTGCGTGGAGGGCGTCCTCCACCAGAAACAGTGTGGCCTGTGTTCAGACCTGAGAGTGAGGCAAAGAAAGCTGGGACCTTGTCATTCAGGGGTCTTGTGCACCATGAAGATTTATTGGATGTTATGTTTAAGAAAATGGGAGATCTGGCTGGGCGCGGTGGTTCACACCTGTACTCCTAGCACTTTGGGAGGCGGAGGCGGGCGGATTACGAGGTCAGGAGTTCGAGACCAGCCTGGCCAACATAGTGAAACCCTATCTCTACTAAAGATATAAAAAATTAACCAGGCGTGGTGGTGGATACCTGGAATCCCAGCTGCTTCGGAGGCTAAGGCAGCAGAATCACTGGAACCCGGGAGGCAGAGTTTGCAGTGAGCTGAGATTGTGCCACAGTGCTCTAGCCTGGGCGACAGAGTGAGACTCCATCTCAAAAAAAAAAAAGAAAATGGGAAATCTTTAGAAAGCACAGTAGAAACAGACGTCTGTTTATACAAGCCCAACACTGCACAGAATGCAATATGGAGGGTTTTACTGACGGTTAACCATAACCACACTCCATTGTGAGCCCCACCGCTAGGTGATGTGCTAATAAGGATTCTCAGTGGTTTGCGTGGACTGCTCATGACCTGTGACACAAATATGTTTGCAGTTGAGTGGAACGAGGCAGGAGGGCTTGTCTTTATCATCGTCTACGAGCTCTGCAGAGGCGTCGGCTACCATCCAGATTGGCTCAGGAAGCAGCGTACACAAGTGTTCAATAACAAGATGTGTGTGTCTCTGGCAGGGGGTGCGGTGCTGTGAGAGTTTGCTGTGGCAGAAGCGGAGCCATAGCCTGTGAAGCTGGAAAGCGTATTGGGTTTGTGTCATCAACAGGCTTGAACATGAGGTACAGGAACGTGGATCTTATTCTGGAAAGATGGAGCCCCGTCGAAGGAATTTGAGCAGTGGAGGGTCAGAGCCAGGTGAGATTGTCAGAAGAGGCCTCGGAAGTGATGAGTAAGGATGGATGGGAGCCGGGAGTAGGGGGCCCGAGGGCTGACGCAGTGCACAGACAGGGCGTCCTCGGTCTCCAGCTGAGCTTGGACTGTGGGATGGACAGGGGACATGGGTGGAGCCGGTGAGGGCGACGGGGGCAGAGCGGTTTGGATTTGTTCCACTGTGTGTGAAGCAGAAGAGCCGTGAAGAGCTTTCCACTCAAAA